CACTTTGTTTTCTCTGAGTTCTACAATTTAGTATAATTTGAAAACGCTACTCTGAAGTCGATTTCACACAAACTATTGTAATAGAATGTATTTTCGCGTGTATCTCCGACTATGATAATCTAAATTCACTCTCGAATCGTTTGATACTGATCTGCGTAACGTATCCAAAGATACGAGACATATTCGCCATTATATTTTGTGAGCGTTTCATGATGTGAGAGAGATACGATTATCGAGCTTCGGATAAAAGCACTCCGCGGACGAACTGAGTTTAATTAGATTTTTATTCGGACGCTTTATCGAAGGTAATAAAATAACTGCGCAAATAGCGAAAGAGAGAGAGAGAGAGAGAGAGAGAGAGAGAGAATATGTATTTAGCGTCGGAAACGATCAATCCGGTCCGATTTATTTGAAAGTGCCCATATCGCAATCGACGGAAATTAACAATCCCATTCGGTCGAAGAAGTAAAACAATATAAAATTTGAAAAAAGATCTTGTCGTTGTGGGATCATAACAACGAATAGTGTTGATCATTATGGAGTCATTATTTATAACATTGTGCGCATCACACATCTGCATATTTTATTCGTATAAATGCTGTTTTATAAATGTGTACATATTCATACATATATGTTACATACATGTCATTTTAAAAGCCTTGATAAAATCCAACTACTGTGTGGCTTTAATCTACAGCGATGGAAGTAAACGATATTTTCACCTTACGCTTTTCAGTGTAATGTTCCCTGTCTCTCTCAAGTGAGCAAAAAGCGACTCGCAGACTCGCTCGGGAGATGAAATACCTAGAATTTCTCCGGCAGTGGCCGGAAACTTTGTTTGCTCCGTGGACTAAGAATTAAATTAAAAGACGCGTCATGGCGGCCTTTCTTCCGGCCATCTGGTCGCGTTGCAGCGATATGTTGCTCTTACTCTGGCCTTTTAATATTTATCACACAAATTAGATTCATTTATCTCTCTAAATTTTTTTTTTTTTAAGTCTCTTTCGATTTGCCGAGTCGTTAACGCTAAGCAGCGGAAATCAATTAAAAATCTCTTTGGTCTAAGAAGAAGTTCCGAATGTTTCGTCAACTTGTGTGTGTTTGTATATGTGTACGTTATAAGTAACTTTATTATTAATTATAAACATTTTCTTACAAAGTTACTTTTATCTTTTTGATATAGTAAAATGTTTGGCGAACTCGTTACACACATGTATCGACCTTACTCTAGAAAAAGAATTACAAAGACATTGTGATCGATTATAATTCTTTTGCTTTTTGCATCAAACTAAAATGGCAATTAAATCTTAGGTTTAAAAACTGTCTTAAGACTTATTTAAATTTAAGTAAATCTTTCTCTCTCTTTCTCTCTCTCTCTCTCTCTTTATATCTCTAGTCAATTCAGGCAATTATTCTTGCATTTGTGTGTGTGATTAATCGTATAGTTGTAAATTATTGGGACGTAAATTGTCTCGATAATATAAAAGCGTTATTTCGCCCCAAGTCTCAATACGCCCGACTAATTGATCGTTAAGAGCTATTCCCCGCTTGAGTCAGCCATGGACGGTTTCGCGCGCTCAGAGAGACAAGCGCTTCTTTGTTTTCGAACGTAGAATTCCAGCACCGCAAAGCGCCCCTCGAGCGCTCGTGGCTTAAGCCGGAAACGCGCGATTCGAGGGTTGCCGTTGCAGGTGCGGCCGTTCGTAGCTAAACTTCATTTACCTCAGCTCTCCGCCCTTCTCACCGTCTGCAACCACTTACGAGCTCGACTACGGCCCAATCAAATTAGAAGAACGTTTAAAGTATCAGCATCGCTTCTTCGAAAGAGCTTACCTAACTTCTTTTAAAACCGACTGCGCGAACATCACAGACTTCATAACATGAAATATAGTTTGAGAGTTATAAATTACTTTCTTTCTTACGCAGATAATATATTCTTATACTTGTTAAACATTAACGATTCTATTCCATTAATAATAATGATGATAATAATAATAATAATAATAATAATAACGACATTAACAACAACAATAACTACAATAACAACAATAACAATAATTCATGAAATGATATAAGCTAGCTAAAAAATATGCGAAATTAGTCACATCAAATCAATTAATAATTTTTATTCCCTTTTGAACAAGTTCTTTTCTCAGTATATTATACAAGTCGGCATATCAATTGCATTAGGAAATAGTATTTGTCATACCGGTTTGTTAAAACTACAAGTCAATATGAATTTATGTTTTCGCGCAAAAATTGTTGATGCGCTGGCTTGCCCGAATAAATATTTTCTCCATTCATCGTGCACCGCGTGGCGTTCTTCGCAGTAATCGACCTGCCAGATCGTAAATTAGTAAATGGATCCTGCAATTTTAACGTGCACTTCGTGCCCGTTTGCGAGCATTATTTGCCTCTGCATTTTTTGTCGAGACTGCCGCATCGCACGCTACTGGCGGCCGCGCGGCCAGCGTTTCGTTTACATTTATGTACGAATTTTCGAAGTCGCAAGAATGCAATTCGAACGAATGCGATTATCGCCGATAATCGTTTCGTGACAAATACAATATAATAAACCACAATATTTATAAATACACACACACAACTAATAAATAAAAATATGAATTTGGCATAAAAAAACAATATTACCGTACAAATCACAGCCTAATGAAAAAAATCTAAAACTTATTCAACTCACTTCGAAAAAATATATAAATGGTCATTAGAGCCATACGCTGGGTGTTTGTTGCAAATATATATATATATATATATATGTAATATGTATTCTATTATATTTTTGTGTAAATTTTTATTATCGTTTCAACTCACTTTCTCTTTTTTAGCAAATAATTCTCAATTTTACGTAGATTGTTTAATGAAAACAGAATAAAAGTCAAAATATATACGTGTGAACGAATCTGCGACATGATAACGCAGATGTCCAAACGGACCGTGATTAGTCGGTTCGCGAGTGCATACCCCTTTCGGACCGCAGTAATTTCTTCCATTCATTAGGGAGGAGTCCGCAATGGGCAACATGCCACATGCGATCGCAGACCGAGATAACCGGAAATGGCATTTTCCACGGAACTGCGGCTTGTTTACACGTTCTCGTTAACCTGGCAATCCCGCGCGGAATTCTTAAATCATAACGGGAGATTCTCTGCGCGTCGGATTCAAATCGGATTAACAATCAAACGAAGACATCGCCCTTTCATTAAGATTGGAGATACGCGGGACTGCGATTGCTGATCGTTAATGGAATTTTCGATTTATCACCATTGAATCTCATGCGTTAATCTTTACCGTGATTCCGCGAGAGAAGCTCAATTATTATCTAATCGGTAAAATCAGTAAAACTATATCTTTTTACATTTAATAAATCAATACCTCTCTGTTTCTCCGTTCGAGTATAAAATTAACTTTTCTTACTATAAAGCAATATAAAAACTCATAATTATCACAAACAAGACTTAGCACTTATTGTGAAAAAACCAAAATTACAGAATAATAGAATAATGCTCGTGAAAGATGAAATAGTAGTGAATAAAAAAGGTGTACGAGCCGATGTACAAGGTGTTGGTGTATATAATTTATTTGATTTTGTCCGATACTACAAAGCTCGGAATTTATACTGGATAAAATGTCAGGAATTACCAAATCGTGTAAATTGACATACAGAAGAAATAATAAATTGTTACTTGTGTTAATCAAAATTAAACTTTTTGAGTGTTTCAAACAGTCATCCCTGAGTGTGAAATGTCACAACGTCAATATCTAAGTCAAAGGGAATTATCAAAATAATGCGACAATCAAAAAGTTAAAATAATGAAAAGTCAAAAATGTACCGTGAGCAAGATAATGTCTAGTCACTACGATTCACATAACAACAACCATGACTGCCAAACAACACTCGCTAAAAAATTATAGTTCTACCTTTTGCAATTTAATTTTTATTTCAACTTTTTCTTTTCTAATCAAGAATATACTTACAAGCTGAATGTTTGGAACAATTCCGAACGAAATATTTCAGTCTTTCATTGTCACTTGCACATCACACATCGTTATGTTCTGCATTTCTGCGCAAAGATATCGGTGATTTTGCCGAGAGTCGCGATTTCAATTGAGAAACTAAAAAAAGTCACGACTCTAAAGGTCGTGACAGGGCTGCCGCGCAGTCGCACGATTCTCTCTCTCTCTCTCTCTCTCTCTCTCTCTCTTTCTCTTTATTCTCTTGTCCCTCTTTTTTATTGTATGCCTTGCTGCGATGAACCGCCACGTCAAGCATAGTATGGCGCGTAGTAGGCCATATAGTAGTATACGCGACCATCCATCCACCGTCGTTCATTCATGAATGGCGAGACGCGGTAGAACTTTTCACGTTGTTATATGTAGCGGCGAATCGGCAAGCAGACACGAAACAAAGTACCATCGATAGTTCCACAGATAGTTGCGTTTATCTCAAGCACTCTCGAAATAACGCGTATGTTACGTTGGACGAAGAATAACACGTAACGTGTACGTAAACGTGTAGAAAAAAATAAGTCAGAACTGTTAGATTATATTGTTTGCTCGGAAAAAAAGTGAGAGAACTCAGGAGAAAAACTATTCTTGTCATATCGAGCGCTTCACAAAAAGGCAAGCTCTTTCTCTGATTTTCAATGCTATTCGTGGAATGTTACATTTTCAATGAAATCGAATACGAATTGTGTTATATATCAGACATTATATATATATGTATATATATATTCACGAGAAATAGATTCTCCAAATGGTATTGTTTTACAAGCATGCTATATTTAGAGTTTCTCTCTCTCTCTCTCTCTCTCTTTTTCGTCTGTCTAAAATATTTTACACTCCATATAGCCGTGCGCCTTAATAGAGTTCAAACAAGCGCCGTGGCATCTGCACTGCGAGATCGTGAGATAGCCGCCGTTCTATTAACTCGGCCAGGCGCGACGAGACTCACCCCTAAGAAAACACCACGTGTCTCTTCACAGGCGGCGACGGCGTACCGTTAAATGGCGCCGTTAATTCTGAGCTTCGCTGGTTGTCGGACGCCCTGGAAATCCGTGAGACCGCGGCAGCGGGTAAACACGCCGTTGCAACCGTGGAAATACATCCGGGCGATATCCTGGTGATTGAGCCACCGCTGGCAGGTTGTCTTCTGCCGGAGTTTTATGGCACCCATTGTCAGCATTGTTACGCGAGGTAAGGAGAAAATTGTTCTTAAATTTAATGGACACACACAATCCTTGGGCGACGCGTAATCCTTTTCTGCCGCGTGTAACTTCTGCTTTGTCTAGACGCGCGGTAAGCCCAGCTGCCGTGTTATCCGCAGCTTTTTACGGATAAACTCGGCGACGGCAAGAGAAAGAGAAAATGGATTTCATTAACCCGAGAGACACACGTGATGAATGACGTGTCTACGTTATTTCACGAGAAATTTTTGAAACAATGCAAATATTTAAATATTAATCGTTAGTAATGATATTAAAAAAAGCTTTTTGCTTCTTCAGTAGTTATACATTTAGCGTTCATTTGTTAAAAGATCCTTGTATTATTTTTTATTCTTAGTTCTTTTTATTCAGTTTTCAAATCCATATATTTTTGAACCGCACTTAGTATATGTTATAACTGCATTCGGAGAACGTGCTATGTACGCCATTCTAACTTTGTTTTATATCTACTGAGAGATAAAGATAGGATGATACAATAGCGCACATAGCACGCTTCTCAAACGCATTCTATATATACATCCTAAAACACACACACATATATAATGTGTAATACAATTGTTAACTAATAAGTTTAAATTTATCTAGGTTACACTTTGTGCTTCTCATTCTCGCATAACGAGAGCGTTTTGCTCGATTTTTATTAGGTCTTTTACATTATTTCTTCTTTTTTTTGACTTATTTTCTTTTACTTTCGATCAGTCTATGGTAAATTTTTAGACTAAAAGCACCGGTTGGATGTCCGAATTGTAGTAGCGTCGCTTTTTGCGGCAGAAAATGCAGAGACGTCGCAATAACAACCTATCACAAGTATGAGTGTAAGATCCTGGGACTTCTAGTCGGTAAGAGTACAATAATACGCAAGAATATAACATTTTAAATGCATCGTTGACATAGCAATTAATAATATAACTAGCAAATTAATAAATTTTATATTCTGCAAGATGTATTTTCCATTAAATAGAAGTTCTACTTTATACGCGCGACATGGCATTATTTCAAGCGTCATAACCGACCCTTACAAGGTAATTACGAGTCGCTCTTAAATTTCTTCCCTTAGGCTCCGGCATGAGTGTACTCAGCATGGTCGCCTTTCGGATGGTGACGCAGGAGAGTCTGCGGAAGTGTTTGAAGATCTACAAGGAGTTAAAGAAGAACGATGAGAAGACCGCAACGTCGTCTTCGACAACAGCATTGAACGATGACGCGAAGTCAGTAAACAGCAGGTCGGCCAAGAGAAGAATCAGACGAAAGAAATTGAAGGAATCTATACGAAGCCAGGAAGCCATAAACACAAAGAAACAAGAAAACACAGAATCACACGAAAACGACGACGGGGTCATCGATATGGCGCCTTATAATCTGGTGACACACGCAGACAAACGCTCGAGTAAGGATTTCCTGGAGAGATCGTTGATGGCAGCCTTTCTGCTGAAATGTCTGCAGAGGATCGGCTTCTTCGCGTGCCCCACGCCGGACGACGGTACTTATTATCATGTTTTACCGTAAAATGCAGTCTTTATCTTCTTCCGACTATATTTAACTTGGAGATAATTTGCCGAATTGAACCGTAGTTGGTGAAAAAAAATATGCTTGCTCACACGAAGGGATATAACTTTCGATTCAGCGAATTCTTCGCTCGCTGACCATAATGCTGTAGTTTTAACAACGCAACGGGGGGAAAGAGTCTCGTGGAAAGTTTTGCCGAAGTTTTTGCCGAGAAGTCGGAGTGAAGAGCGGGAAGAATGTGCAGAACGCGCGTAGAGAGAGAGAGAGAGAGAGAGTGAGAGAGAAAGAGAGAGAGATCTGCACTAATATCCGTGAACTTTGGCGAGTTCGCAGAGGTTCCGGGCACTGAGGAGATCATCGTGGCCGCCCTGCTACTAAGGAACCTGCAGCTGCTCCAATTCAATGCCCATGAGTTCTTCGAGACGCGGTTGAACGAGAAGCATCGATTCCGCGGCAGCCGGCCGGTTTATCTCGGTGTGGCGATTTATCCCACTGTCGCCCGTTTCAATCATGACTGCTATCCTGCAGTGACGAGGTATGAGAAAAAAAGAAAGAAAGTTGTAACACTCTTCAATCCTTTCGAAAATTAAACTTGTCAAAAAAACGCACAGTATGAGTGTGTAAAATATATTTTTGTAAAAAATGCTTTTTTATATGCAAAAAAATTTATCTCATCTTTGCTCGTAGAAACGCTTTGTTACGCGATCTCATCGAACGTTGTATTATACTTTGACAAAGTGCGCGATTTACTTTGAATTGTATGTAATAACGTATAATCGCGTAAAAAATGAGCCGCAACGAGACGAAATCTAATTAACCCTTCGTGGTCAGATCTCAAAAACGACGACGAGTTAGTCAGACCAGGTCTGTGAGACCCACGCGATTTCAAGATCGAATATCTCCGCAAAAAATCAATATTTTTTCAATTTCTTCTTTTTAAGTCAAAAGTTTGAACACTTCTGCGTCGATCAAAAAACATAAAAAAATAAAAAAATCTCTAGTAATTACAAAGATCTAAACATTAAAGAAAAAACTAATTTTTTTCTAGAAATGCCGATGCGCAATTTCTGAGTAGGTCTGGGAAACCCACGTCTGATTACAAAGGTTTAATATCTAACCAGACAATACACATTTATTTGTCGCGCGAATTGTTAAAAGATTTGCCTTTGTGTGGTCTGTTAAGTGAAGATTTTTCAAAATACTTATACTGCAACAGTTTTGCGTGCTCTTTGTTGATGGAAAAACGGTTTTCGAAAAACAGTTCACACGTAGCAATCAATGTTTTTCATTTATGGCTACGTGATTCATGATTTACATCACTTTGTGAATACTTGAAGAATTTGTTACAAATATTTTTGTGATTGACCATTGCTTATTATAATATACATAGCTCGTCAGAACAATCTTGTCTAATAAAACGTAATCGAGAGAAACGACATATGATATGTGTGTAATTAAGCTTTAAATGGTTTTTCTGGAGAATTCCCGCGTTTACGGACATACATCCGCGGTATACCTTCACTTCTCTACGGAATACTGTGAGAATCTATTAACGCTAATTAAGTACGTGGATTTGCGTGTATTTCGGGGCAACACTAAAGCGTGTCTGTGATGACTTCGTGGGTCGCGACCATTATACGCGAAATTACACCAGTGCGCTCATTATTCCGTAATGTCACAAACTCGTCTGCATTACTCGACAAGCGGAAATTGTTATTGTTCACGTTATTAACGTCGTCAGTGGCCATTGTGATGATTACAATTATTATTTCATCGCGAAGTAATTGTATCGCCTTTTCTGTTTTCCGATTTATTAACTTGCGCACTTGCCTCGTTTCGAATAACAATTAGTTAACTCTCTTTCCAGCGTAATATTTGATTTAATGCGCTTAGTAAAAATTTTACATGCATATATCATACATATGTGTAAATGTATGAGACGAAAAATACAAAATATTTAGGTTTACTATCAATATCGTTTATACGATTTTCTCACATAAATGCTCGGTGCAATTAAAAAACCAAGGTACAGTTCATTTTACTATTTAAAACTTGAGCTTATTTTATATATTATTTCATTATTTGTGACTAAATAAAAATTCATTAAATTTACACGAGCGGTTCTCTTTGTTCGTACAGAGTTAACTGGTTCAATTATGCGAGAAGAGAAAGTTTCTTTTTATATATATATTATATATATTATATATATATTTTCATATATAAAGTAATAAATGTAGCTCAGTAGAGAAAACAAACGAAACAGTAGTAAAATCCGATGAGCAGTAAGTCTAAGGTGGTGATGGAATAAAAAGGTACGTACTTGTATTACTTTTGTTTATTTATTTGTATTATCGTATCTTTCTATTACAACGGCCATTATTACTACCCTGTAAAATTTTTTGCACATACAATTACTGAAAATGATCAGAAATATTAATCAAAACGTCTACATATCACATTTAAATCAGTGTTTTTATTCCATCACCACCTTGGACTTACTGCTCATCGGGTTTTACTACTATTTATATATATATATATATAGTTTTATATATATATACTCGACTTGTGAAGAAAAGAACGTGATTATTTTTATAACGGAATATTAACGTATATTGTTAATTAACAAATATATAAATAAAATCTGCTGTTTGTCAAAATTATACCACAGATACTTCGACGGCCGACATATCGTAATAAGGGCCATTCGTAGTTTGCGTCTTGGTGACGTTATTGCCGAAAACTACGGACCGATATTCACGAAGAGAACACTCGCCGAGCGTCAAAGGACACTAGCAGGAAGGTACTGGTTTCGGTGTACATGCAAAGCCTGCGAAGAGAACTGGCCATGCTTTGAGAATCTGACGAACGATTCTGTCAGGCTGAGGTAAGTCCATTTAAATTCCCCGACATTAAGCTCATTAACGAAGTAATTTAATTTAATTGAATGAACAGTCTATTGCTACCGACTTGTTCTGCTTTCCTCTCCAAGTTCTCTTCTAACTGAGTATCTCCTTGTAGACAGATTAGTGAAGTAATATCGATTAGAAATAATGCAATACAATTCGTTTATTAGCCACAAACATTTATAACGCTGCGTTTCTAAGATGTATGTTAATTAAAACCTGATATTAAATTTTGTTATCTGTTAAACATTCTTCCAAAAATTTCAACATCATAAAGTTGGTTAACACAAATATAGTTTGTAGCACATAACACTACAATATTTAAATAACTTGAAAAGTCTTCCAAGATAATTTTATTTTTTTAGTAGCAATATTGTTCTTTGCTGTTATTTTATTGAAGTTTTTAGTTGACAGTAATCGTTTAGTATAATTGTTTATGAAAAAATCAGGTTTTTTATGAAAGTTTTAATAAAAAAAAGAAGTAATTTGCGCGCGCGTGCATGTATCATATTGAACATTTCTTTAAAAAATTAATTGACATTGATAAAAAAGAATATCTTGCGAAAAATTAACTAGTTATTACAGGAAGAGAGAGAGAGCGAGAGAGAGAGAGAGAGAGAGAGAGAGAGAGAAAGAAAGAGAGAGAGAGAGAGAGAAAGAGAAAAAGAGTGTGTGAGTAGATATTTTTCGAGATCGTTAAAAACCGCAAGTCCCAACGAGGTAAGTTCCTCAAAGAGAAGAACTGTCTGTACTGTAAGAATGCTCCTGTCATCAAAGGTATTTCTCGTCGTGAGATTCTCGTACCAACTCCAACGACACGGCCAGGTGCTTTTATCAGTTGCGCGCGGTAATTTTCTGGGTGGTACTCGTAGTGGTAGTACTCGTTATACGTTGTCTTTTATGTCGACAAAACAAACACGGAGCTTGTGTGTTTCTCTTTTCGGAGAAAAATAAACGACAGAGTGTCCCTTTGAAAACGTCAGACAAAAGTTCAATTATGAGTAATTATTTTATCATCACACACTGAAAACGCAAATGTAATTCTTTTAAATGCGCGTCTTTGTTCGAATATTTTAACGATTCTTTGTATAAGAAACGAGTTAATACTGATTAAGGCGTGTTTGCATTCTTGCGTTTCTTTTTAGAGAATAATTTTGTTGAAAATGTTCAAACACACACACACACACACAACACGAGTCTTTTAGTATCCAACTACGTAAATACACTTACCCGCAAAAAAATGGGCCGCCGAACTTTAGCATTTTTTAACATTTTTCAATAGCTGATAACTTAGCAAAAAATCATCGTATTGAGATGAAAAAAGGCTCAAAGCTTAAACATTTCTCTGTACAACCAAAATATCACACTTAAATTACAAGAAATATTTACAAATAGCGGTGTAAATGTTGAAGATAAACTTTGAGAAACAGGAAAAAAAATTTATTTTTTAACTGTTGTATTGGTCAAGAGAATCGGCTGCCTGATACAAAATTGTATGAGTTTTGAAGCTCATTTACTTCCTAACAAATTCATATTTTCAAAATGTTTTTACGATTTTTTAAAGTAAGATATACATGTATAATTTGTTATTAAAAAAATACGAGATGTTTTTGTTACAAAGTAACAAAGTCTAAATGAGAGGAAATTGTAAAATGGTTGATTTTTTTTTCAAGATGTCCTACGGCAGGATGCAATGGACTGCATTCGTGTGTACAGCAACGGTCGAAGCTGATAAAATGTGCGAGCTGTCAAAAGAAAATCTGCTTGGAGGATCAGCTCGCGTGCCTGCGAGAATGCGAGGAGCTCTACGAACGTGGTTTGGCTAGTATGGAGGACGAGAGAGTGGACGAGGCGATTGAGACACTGTGCTATGCTCTGAAGAGATTTCACCAAGTCGCCTGTCCACCGCATCGAAGCACACACCTGGCCGAAATTGCTTTAAGCTCCTGTCTAGCCGATTGCGGAAATACTTGGAGACCTGCTTTGAAAGAGCGCACAGCAGATGCAAGAACGGATTCTATAGTCATGCGGAAATGATCGACGCAGTATTTGTAGTCTACATGTGTTTTGAAAAGACGAACGCATTTCATTTTGAATCAATCTGTTTGATATTTTAATTGATATGTTACATATGTACAATATATGTACCTAGTATATACGTACTATTGTATACATATATGTATTGTGCATATAAGTCATAATACATAGCGTTTTGTAAGAGAATTTTATCACGTTCTAAAATCTCTTCTAATTATTCAAATTGTAATGTCTTCATTCAATAGTTGAGTTTATTAAAGTAAAGCTAGACAATATTTAATAATTATTCAAGTGTAAAAAAATTTACACTCTTAAAAATATAAATACATATTCATATATAATACCTATATATTTATACATATAATACATATTCGTACATAAGTATAATATATATTTATATATACATATATATTCATATATATTTATTCCGCAAAAACATCTAGCGCATTACCTGGCTCGTATTACTTGTTAAATTCCTGTTATTCCTAGGATTGACTAGTCAATTTGCGGAGCATTGGTCAAAGCCCGAAATAGGTTTTCTTGCATAATTTTCACTGTACGCTATCATCACAGCGACTTATTATAGATTAAGCTGGGTTAGGTTTTTAACTTCCCCTGCATCTTCTTTCTTTGAAAGCCTAACCCCTAACCCAACTTAATCTATAATATGTCACGGCAATGATAACGTACACAGCGCGTCATTAAATCGCGGAATAGGCGCGGGATCGGAGGGCAAGCGGGACGCGCGCGGTTGCTCGCCAATAAGCGCCGTATGAATCGTACGGCCCGCTTGCCCTCCGATCCCTGCGCCTATTCCGCGATTCAGTGACGCGCTGTGTACATTGAAAAGTACGCAAAAAAACCTATTTCGGGCTTTGACCATAACATATATATATAAATATAAATAAATAAATATATATATATATATATATATATATATATATACAGGGTTGTCTCAGAATTGCCGTACAATCTCTCGCAGGTAGGTAGAAGGAGTAAAACTGAGTCAAAAAGTCTTGAACCATTTTTTTCTATTCCTTAAAATAAAGGAGTAATTATTGAGTAAATCAGACCAAGCAGCGCCGATCTTTAGTCAGGCGCACGCCAGTGAGCCGCGCGGAGTGCTTACACACACCAGGCGCGCGGCTCACTGACGTGCTGATAGGCCTGATTTACTCAATAATTACTTCTTTATTTTAAGGAATAGAAAACAATGATTCAGGACTTTTCGATTCAGTTTTACTTCTTCTACCTGCCTGCGAGAGATTGTACGGCAATTCTGGAACACCCTGTATATATATGTATATATATTATATGTATATTATATATTATATATTGTAAAATTAATACGTATAAAAAAATAAATTACAAAATTTAATTAGACCAATCCTTTTAAAATGTAATGAATTTTTGTTCGACTTTCATGCAATTATAAATTATCTGGTATACTAAAAATATTGATTTTTCTCGCCGTTTTTTTGGTCGTTTGCGATTTAGCTTAGAATTTGCGCAAAAAGAACATGTTATCTTTAATGACTTTATAAAATCGTCCTTTATAAAAAGTTCCAAGTAAATAAGCAATAAAGCTTCAGTGAGAAGATTATAAAAAAAAAAGGATCCTGTCACGTCGAGCATGTATAACGTCGTAGGTACATATACATATATTTGCACACATTAGCATCCGCACATGCATGTATTACGTCTTCGAGCGCTTATATTCGCGACGATCATCAGCACATAGAGGACAAATAGCGATAATTGATATTGCGAGCGTGAAACGGTTATGTGAAGTGTTCGTATCGAAGAATTAACAGCCGAGGCGTTTACTGAAGCGTCAACTTGGAAGGCAACTTTTTTAATTTCGCCTGTACATAGCGCGTGAGGCAATCAATTTGGTTCATCTGAGATCTCCTCTGATTGCCTTCACTATGTGCATGTACGCGTGTGCGCGCGTTCAATGTATCTTTTTTTATCTGTAGAAACATACCGTCAGAAATAGTTAATAAGTTGCATGCTTGTTGCTTTTGCATCTCTGTTTAACTGCAAAATGCACAGAAATTCACCGATCTTATATAAGATTGCTCGATTAAAGAAATTTTTGGCAATGTTGTATTATTTAAACACACCTGTAAAAAGATACTAGTGCAGTAATTAATAAACCAACAGAAATGAAATATTGTAATAAAGTGAGAGTTCTTTAATTATTTTTATAAATTTCTTTTTGAATAATGACTGTTCAAAATTCTTCATTGTATTATATTTGAAAGAAAATGCATGATATGCAATAATACAGGTCCTTTATCATGACAGGAATGCACTGTATCTACACATGCTTTCGAGATCAATTGAATCAATATCGCCGTTTCATGAAATTAAGCATATATAAAAACAATTCGTACATATAGTCCGTCGAGGATCAATCAATTACACACACAATTTGCTTTATTTACGCTGAAAAATACACAGTAAAAATTAATATTTGATTCAACGACAAATTTATAATATTCAAACCGGATTATATTATTTTTTATGAAGTGCACCATAACACATTTTATTAAAAATATACAAAAAAAAAGTAAAATTTAATTGTATAATTCTTTACACACATAAATTCTTTATTATTTTGTTTTTTTACTGATTTTTTATTCCGTTCCACAATAAAAACAAATATTTTAACCTTTTAACTGCGTAGGACGCCTATAGGGGCGCTCGGTGAGAGATGTTCTCTCGGTGCGTAGAGCACTTTTAGGCGCTCGATAAGAGATTGTCTCTCGATGCGCGTAGAACACCGCTCGATTGGCACGTTTTTCTGAGAGTCCCGCAGTCAAGATGCTAAAATATAAATATATTGTAATTGTTTTTTATTTTTTGTAATTGTTGTTCCATTCGTTCGTTCCGAACGTTGTTTATGTGAATATAACAGGACAAGGAAATTTGGTATGGACAAATAGGAATCAAAATAAAACAAAACACATATTTAATTATAACTTTTGCGATTTTTTTGGTAGATTTATTTTTTATAATGCATATGTTTTCTCGTGAAAAAATTAAATTCCGTATATGAAATTAGCATTTAGTTTCGCGTTTCGGTACAAAATTCATTTGGGGAAGGGGCAGTCGACGGATGACTTTAGTTTGGAACACGCTCGGACACGACGATGACATCGTGTTCGACGTCCGTCGAAATCTTTTGATAGATTTTTCTATTCCTTTTTTTTGTGTCTCGAAAGTTGAACGTCTCCTCGATCGGGATTTCGATTCTTTTACCCCTGTTTTTTTTCTCATATTTTTCTTTGCTTCTTGTCCACGTTTTTCTTTCACACATGTGTACATATAGAACTCGAGTATTGCATTTACTCGCATCGGAACTCGAATCGGATCTAATTGACTATTGCGTGATATTTTTTTCATTATGATTATTTTTCTCGAGATAGATACGACGCGAATACAGATGGAATCTCGAGTAAGAAGGAGCGCGTCGTATCTACTATCCGCCTTTCCCAAAAATCCTTTCCGAAGGGCAAATTCTTTATCGATAATAGTAAGTTCTTCTTTATTTTCAGCGAAGTTTCCGTTTTCTCGGCGAGGAGAACCGTAAAACGCCGATGACAAAACGAAATTTTGCAATACGATACCGCCCATTAATATTTACGAGGATTTAAAATCTCTCCGATAGGATAATCTACGATCGATGCGCGATTGAAACTTCGCATGTTGAATAATTTTGATGAAATACAAATCTCACAATATATTTATCTTTACTCGACAAAATTATTCGACACGTGGAGAAAACTCGACTTGTACAGACTTGCTCATATATAAATTTCGTGAATTTTGCGCGAGTGTTCGAAAAATCTAACGAATCGTGCGCAATGCGTACTATAAATCAATTGTTTTTTTCCGATGAGTTCTTTACGTTGCCCGATCGTGTGATACGTCTCTCTCAATTTTTGCAGCGAACACGTAACACGCTCTGTGACCGATCATGATTGGTGGCAGATAATATCTCGATAATGAATGACGATAATCAGCGTGACGAAGCGCGCACAAACTCATTTTCTCGGTTACTATTTCACGCTGTTTCTATCGCGTATGTAAATTTAATTGTTGGATTTACCATTATATATGTTTCCACTTTTTGTTCTTATTTTTAGCTCTGAATATTCACTGTTAACACATGCATTTGTTCTTTTTTTCTTTTTGCTGTTACAATCTGCGCGTCCGTTCAATCGGCGCGCCGCCTCAAATGTTTATTTGCCTCTTTTCGGTTCGTCTCAAGAGGCCATCTCTTGAAATTTTATTATTTATTTTTTCTTTCTACCGCGTTTTTCATGGGAACGCGCGGTTACGTTAAACAACGGAAGTTAATTAGAAAAGTCACCGCAGTTTTGTCCCAGCGGACATAGATCGCAGTTTAAAAGCGGGGAAAAATGCGAGACATGCATAGATCGATATACGTCTTGTGTCTGTTGGAGTCTTGCAGAAACGAAAACACAGATTATCTCGACACCGTCTGATGCGACTTTGGAGCCAGACCGGCTTAGTTTTTATTGTAGTCGCAAAAGTAAAAATAACGCGCGTCCGCGTAACATAACCGCGCGTTTAATCTTTCTCTCTCTCTCTTTATCTCTCCATTTGATATCGCACTCACGCGCACACTCTTGCTTATCTTTTAACGCGTCGTTTTATATTCTAAGTCAATCGAAGATTTCACACGAGTAATACGAATATTCCTCGATCTTTCCAATTTGTGAGTACACAAGCGAAGATATTACGCAACTTAATGAAGATTCGACATTCTTGTGTTGAGTAGTCGAAAAAATTATACTTAAATGTAGACAGACAAAAAACAATAAGATCGAAAGACGATCATTAGGTAGCATCTTCGACGAAATTTTACCAGCACCTAGACAGGATACAGCTACTGCGTGTATTAACATTAGTGTCGAGCCAAACTATGTTCCTCAAACAACAATTTCGAACACATATTTGTTAATCAGCATGTATGAAGTGTACACTGCAGCGCACTCAATACGTTCTAAACGGGGTAAGAGTTTCTCTTTTTCTTTCTCCCTCTATACTGAACCAACGAACGTGAAGCTTCTATTTTCCACCTGAAAGATATTTACTATAATGTATCGCAGTGTACGAGACTACATCTTGTATTTCATACACGCGTACATATAAGTATGTATTCGAATAAATTCGTGAAAACATACTTTGCTCCAATATTTGGTTTTAGACTGACAAGTACAAAATATGACGACAAAAAAATTGTAAACATGTTATGTAATAACTACACCCAAACGATACAAAAGAAAAGGAAAAATGGAAGAGAAAAAAAGGGAAGAGATTTGACAGATTAAGATTTAATTTTTGGATAATTTTGGTGTTTCGCATATGTTTGTATCGTCTGGATATAGATTTTAAATGTAATATGAGAAAATTAATACATAAATTATTTTCAATTATCAATTATAAGAAGACGCGTTTCAAAGCATTTTTTTTCTTAAAGAAAGAAAATGTACAGTAGAACCTCATTTATCCGAACAACTTGAGGTCTCAACCTCTATTATACGAACCGATAGTTCGTCGATAGTTCAAAACTATTGGTTCGTATAATAGAGCTTGAACCTCGAATATCCGAACTATCTTGTTCCCCGATCGGTTCGAACAAACGAAGTTTCCACTGTATATAAATTATTTTTTTCGAGAAGATATTATAAAATTTAAAAAATTAGTTTCATGCAAAATTATAAAGTTTTATTTTATTTTATTTTCTTCTATTTTTACTCTCATGACAGTCTACGAAATTCGTATTGTCACTCGAGCCTGTGAGATACGCCCGGCTCTTGTTCCAAAAAAATCAAATCGAGTCGATTGCCGCGTGCAAGCGGTCAGTTTAATAAGAGAAATAAACAAAAAGACCAATGCCCGGTGCATAATCGATCGACGTCAATTCTAGAAACGACCGGACGATGTACTCACATTTAAAATACAGAAGATCGTGAGATTTCACAAGATACAATTTTTTAAGCTTATCAAAAGCGTATTAAAGTAGTGATTTATTAGTTGGTCTCGACGATACAATGCAAACAGATCATATTGCCAAAAATTATTATTTATGAATTAATTGTCAAACTCACATGTGTATCTCACTGTGAAGTCTCACAAACTCCGATATTCTATTTTGTGTCTAATTAACAAGATATACAATAATAATTAACAGTACACGCACCGCTGAACCCTCCAGGGGCCAGTACTGACAATTGTTTGATACAATTAATAAAATTACGACCATGATAAATGCTATTACAATAATCGTTTCTGCTTGTGATAAATCTCTTGTAAAAAGTTAAGAAAATTTAGGATCAATATATATGTGTGAGTTTCAAAATTATAATATATCATATGCTGTGATTATTAACGCACAAGATAATTGCGCCTGAAAAGAGTAAAAGCAATACGGCAAGTTTGTCAATTTCGAGATACAAGCCAGAAAGAAACGAATGATTTCGAGACAGGCAAAAACATTTGAATGAAACGCGATATTCGCGTATAAATGGTTTTCATTACTTCTTTGTATGAATAGATTGCTGAAAGTGAAGAAAGTTACCGGAAATATATAGCAATAAACTCAAATATAGCACATAAAACGGTTATAGTAGTGCTTTATTGGAGAAAATTCAGAAGTAATGTGTGCGAAACGAGAAATACACAAAAACAAAACAAAAAATATATATTATATCGGTCACTTGCCGCGCTCGAATTCATCGCTCCGTACTCCGTGATTGCTTTAACCCTTCTGTTTTTTTGCTTGTTTGTTTATTCAATTAGTCAATCGTTTATCATGTTACAGAAAATACACTCAAAGACTGACGTCAGTTAACTTCCGTTGAATATATACCAATCGTTAGATGATTAGCATAAACGGTTGGCTGATTGAGTAAAAACAGGATTTTATATATTCTTCGCTGTGATTCTTTTCTTTTCGAAGTTTGCCACATATTTTTATGGTCATACATATCCTTATCTTAATGTGAGAGAGTGTAGGAGTGTTGTTGATTTTTTTTGGCTTTTTTAAAGTTGTTTTTGGTGTTAAATATTAAACGACTGAGATGTAGCGCGTTACTCTCTCTTAATTAGGCGGTGCTTTCGGTTGTAGTGTTCTGCACCGTTTGGCTTTCCTGTAAACATATAACAAACAGAATTTATTATGCAACAGTTGCAAATATATACATATACATATACATATACATATACATATATATATATAATATTACAAGAACAGCATTTTTTATTTACATATTTTTTGCAGACATATATAAAAATTATGTCGTAACAAATACGAAGAAAATATGAATTATTATTTCCTACACAATAACGAGAACGTAAATATAAAAGACAAGAAAAATAGAGTGCAAAAATAAATCTTGAGATCTACTGTGTCACATATAACGTCGCAAGTGTAAGTGCATAGAAACTGCGATAACTGAGAGGAGTTTTGCGAGATTGAAAAGAGAGGAGAATATAAAGCGATTTTACCTGTGGAGCAGGGGCAGCAGCAGTTGCATCCACATCTTTAGCATCCGACTTCTGCTCTGGCTGAAAAGAGTACAAAAAGATACGTGCAAATAGTGTGTGCTAAGCGCTACCGTTTTATATTCGTCGACGGATCGCGCATTCGATCTCTCAAAATCAAAAGCTCTTTGTCATTCATACGAACTGCTAACTTTTGCACTTATATTTATCCGATATATTGCAAAACGCTGTAAGATCGTACTTTTATGTCAAACAGCTTTTGATTATGATTGGTGTTCCAAGTGTTTAGTCGAATGTACGTAAAAGAAACTTCTGAAAAGTATAATCCGTTGACGAAGAAAAGGAAATAATTATTTACAAATTTAATGTTAAGATACAAAAAATAGCGATTCAAGATGGCAAGGATGTAAATTCTCGTAAAGCAAGTGTATTGATTGTTTTAAATCTTGAATAAATTGTTGTAAATCGTTAAGTATATGTATAAGAGAGCCAGATTTGAAGAAATGACTATTTCTCGTCATCAAAAATGACGTGAGTTATCTTCCACCTTGAATGAAGAAAAGAAAAGAAAGAAAAGAAAAAAAAAGAACCAATAATACCTTGAGGGATTTATTGCAGGATACAGAAGGGATATCGGCGACTGTTTGAAGGGAAATGACGAGAGAGGAAGCGGGATTAGATTTGCAATTTGTGTCCGAGGATGGTAAGTTCTCTACCGTATTCGTCTGTTGGCTCGAAGTCGCACGAGGTCGTCGTACTAATCGTCGTCTGTAACGTGGTCGTGGATTTCTCCGCGAATTACTGACTTGTGCAGCCTCGCCGTCATCAGTCACCTAATTTTACAACAATACCTAATTGCTGTAAAATCTATCCGATTGCTTTACCGAGTATAGAAAATTTGCTAACACCAAGATATCTGTTTTACAAAGCGTGACAGAGGAAAAAAGTTATTGACAAATGGAACAGCGCAGGACACATATTCTGTGCGTGGATAATGCATCCTAAATATAAGAAGGGATTGTATAGAATCCATATTCTTGCTGGAAATATGATTTCTAGAAAAGTGCATCTAAGACAATATAAGAGAAACAATGTTCTTGAAAACACTACTACTGAGTTTTGTCTGTTTCATGATAATAAGAAAACACACTACCGTGCAAACTAATTGAGTTTCGAAACTCGGTTTGTTAAATTAAGAGTAGGAAATAAATGCACATTTCTGCATCTGCCAAATCCACTGCTTACTATGTAATAACGCAGTATTGCTGTCAGGAAAAAATGATAAAGGACAATTCACCATTTAGATGCAAGCAATTGAGAAGTTGTGGCACTATCATGAATTTTGTGGTGAAATATAATTTTTGAGGAATTAGAAAGTAAATCGGTATAAAAGTTATTAACTGATAGCAAAGACAGGATACTTTACTTAGAGTAGATACAAAGTTATATATTTCGGAATACTTCAGAACATTCTAAGATTCCTGAATATTTGAGCACTTTTTCGAAAGACTACTTTTTTCGACTATTACTTTTACATTATAAAACATTTTAAGATGTGTATAATCCCGAAACCTTAGATAAAATATATAAAATGTGTAAGATTTAGAAAACACCTCGATTTATAGATAAAAGTTTTTATTTTTCATATTTTAATTCGCTATCAGTTGCTGTAATGAAATTACTAAATGCGTTAGTGATCATTAAGCTAGATGACTGACCCTGGCCTGGCCATCCTGACTACGAGGACGTCGTGGAGGACCACCTCTTCCTCCGCGGAAATTGCGACGGAAATACCGTCGTGACGGGCCACCGCGACCACGACCACCACGCGGCGGAACACCACCCTCACCGGTTACTTCTTGTTCTCCTTCACCGGTATTGTCACTTTGTTGCTGCGCTTGAGGGGGCCCGGTACGCCGTCCTCCACGATAGTAACCATCATAATGACGTCGCACTCTATTATAGCGACGTTGTTGTGGCTGTCCACCACCTTCAGCGTTCGAATCCTCGGTTTTTCCTTCACCTGATTTGAAATAAATAAACTTATTTTAAATTTTTGGCCAGCAAACGTTAAACCAAACATTATAAAGAATAAAATAGTTTACAAACCTTCATATCCTTCTTGGCCTTCACGTCTACGATTTTGAGGCCGACCATTGCCTCGTCTGGGATAAACCCAGTGGATACCGCGATATCCGCGACGTTTGTCAGCAGCGTAAGGGGATCCTTTTACTGCTTCACCGGCTGGTCCAGTGACGTTAGCGGCTTCATGACCCTTCTCGCCAATAACAACATCAAATTCGACAACTTCTCCATCACCCACGCTACGTACAGCCTTTCGCGGGTTATTTTTTATAATGGCAGACTACAATTACACGTAACATAATAAGTTTTCTTCCAGAAAAAAGTAATTGAATAACATGAAATAACGTTAAATGTGAGAAAACTTACTTGATGAACAAAAACATCTTCCTTAGTATCGTTTCTGAAGCAATCAGAATAAACAATTACGTTAAAAGTAAAGTTAACATTCAATTTTTATATAATACAAGATTAATTTTAATTTACATAGAAAGAGTAATACACTAACTGTCTGAAATGTTATATTACTATCGCACTGTTGCAATCGCCCAAATAAATCCACAAATATAAAATTTAATGTATAATATATAATATATAATACATATAAATCTGATATTTGATGCTTTCGCGGTGTGTTGTATTAACATTTGAAGATGTTTTTCGGGTCTGAACTACGTTAGTGTTATTTTTATACCAACGTTTCGTGAGCATTTCAGCTCACTTAATCAAGGTTTCAAGAACAACCTGATATTGAGTATCGAAAACCATCTTCGAATGTTAATATATATTTATATATAAATTTAATATATAATATACTTATATATTTTTTTGTTATATTTTATATTTTTTCTTTAAAGATTTCATCTAAATTATATAAATCTTAAGAAAAAAGCAAGATTAAAGCTTTTGATATTTTACACAAAGTTCCACGTGCGCAACTTCACTGCATTTACTGTGTGCTGCAAATATGTAGTAATAAGTGTGTATGCACGTATCTATCCTACGCATGAATTCGCGCGCGGACGTAATTCATAAAGCTGAAAAGCAAAGCACGGAGAGGTTGAGAGGTTGTCGAACCCTGCGATGCAAGTAATGAGAGAAATACAACTAATACAAAAACGGTTTTAACTGAACATCCTTCATGCGCAATTAACAAAAGATGTGTTAGGTTGATGAATCATATGAAAGTCAGAAAGGAAGTTTCCACATACATACAACATTACACATACTACCTTGAATCATCTACTTATCGAAATCGATTTCAAAGTAGAAATATAATAGTAGCAGTGATAATGAAACACAGTAGTCTCGTTTTATCACTGTATATTAAATTATTTATTCTGACGCGAAAGGCGAGTATATAAGTTAACACATTTTACGTTTTTTAACTTCACTAGTTTGCAAGTTCATTTTCAAACTTTTTTTCAATTTTAATGTTTATAGAAACACTGAAAAAATAGAATAGAATCTATATAAGAATAGAATAGAACCTCTATATAAGAGTAGAATAGAATAAAATCTATATAAATTTCAGTGTACGTCTTGCAACATGGATTGATACCGATGCAAATTTCTATAATATAATACTAGGTACAATCCAATGGATATCAAGACGCAATGTGTTGTTCTACCATTGCGGTAAACGCGTTCATCGAATTCGAGATAAACACGATGAATGAACAATGGATATTCTTAGTATAAGAATCATTAAATTTCAATAAAATATATTTGTATAATATATATTTGGAAAATTATATATTTAAAATCATATTAGATGCTGCAGACTGAAATTGAATGTAAGCTTTATCCTGATTACTCGAAATTTAATCTCAATCCTAATCGTAATCTAACTTACAAACTTTTAGAAACAGTATGCTTTATACAGATATATTTACTTCGTATTTTTCTAATTCTAAATTTATACTCAAACTACCTCTAAATATTCTTATATTTCCAGTATTTCTAAATGAGTATTATATTTTTTGTATTCATAAATATATTCTATGGCGTATTATAATTCTATATTAAATTGTCCCCCCTCCCATACAGCGAGAGAAAGAGAGAGAGAGATAGAGAGAGAAAGTGTGTGTGACGCGTGCGCGCGTTACTGTAAAATAGTTTTTTTTATTTTGCTTATATATAAACTTAATATCTGCCATAAAGTTTCTGATATTATTGTAACATATCCCAACAATAAGACATACACACACATTTTACATGATCATATTACGTTTACACAGTTCATAATACGATTCAGTTGTTCGATTATTAGTTCAATATAAGTGTTCTATATTCATAAATGAGTGTATAGTAACAGTAATTTCCAATTTTGCGTCGGCATGTTGAGCGCGGCTGATGTTAGTGTCAGTGAAAGTGTAGTTGGAGAACTTTGAAATAGGGGATAAGTTAGGTTAGGTTAGGTTAGGATAGGTAAATATTTTAACTCCCCTAAAGAACTATGTATTAATATGTTTCTGCTTCCACACGTGTAATAAAAAAAATGCAGTAAACACAAGAAAATGTAAATTAAAATTTCTTTCAATATTGCGAATCTTCGTGTTGACTTTTTATTTTTATCACAAAACAATAAATATACAGGTAGAAATATTACTTATTGTATCTGCACGCAAAAGTTTCTTACGTATGTACAACACATGGCAAAATTTCATTGCGCAAGAGCGCGCAAAATTTTTCTGCTTTTCAATTAGATAAATGAATGAACCTCGAAGTAAATTCTAGTTTATGAACTCATAGTATAATTTATATTTACCAAGAGCAGAATTAAACATTTCTCGAACAATAGCCGTGTTATACAAATCAATTACTAAATTTTTTTCTTAAATAATAGAATGTAGAATAATATCGTAAATTTATTTCATAAATAAGTGATATATAAAAAAATTGCAAATATAATTTTATACACAATTTGATAGATAAGAGAATAAAACTAGGAAACAAATAATCAGATATTTGAGAATTTTTATGGAAGACATGCAACGGTTAATATATACTTTTGTGTTTGCAATTGGGGGGTATTGTGCAAAAAACATTAAATAATTTATGTGCCTTTCCTTATATATGTCTATCTTCCATAAAATAAAGTAAACAAATCAGATAAAAAATAAAGAAAATAACTAAAAAACAAATACAAAATAATGACTACTAACCTGTTTATGAAGCCATAACCACTTTTTACATTAAACCATTTTACTGTCCCGGTCACTTTGTTGGCTGAAAAATTCAAAAAAGAAACATTTATAATGTATACTTCACATGGTGCTTGTATAAATTTATTGAAGCCTATTATCCAAAAAGTTTTTAGTTTTATATTATAAAAAATATAAATTTAAAAAAAGAATATATAATTATATAATTATAAAATAATAAAATAATATACAATTAATATAATATACAATATAAAGTAATATATAATTTTTTTTAATATAAAGAGAAGATTAATAAGTAAAAAAACGTATTATATTGGAAAATGTATTCATTAAATATTATGATAAAGCATCCTTTATAACTACTGTATTTCATAGTATAAAAAAATACAAATTAAATGTAATGATGATACTGTGTTCTTGTAAAATGACGATGTGTGTGTGTGATATGTGTTTAGGAATTACAAAACACACATTTATACAATTATTAGGTATGTAGTACAAAAACCAAGTAAATGCAACTCTGACAAAAAAATAATGCAATCTTTATAAAAATAGTAATTTTTGACATTTTCATTAAATATATCAAAATTCAATTTTTTATATATTTTCAATTTATCTCTCTCAAATACGTATACTGCTTTCTTTCTCTCAATTATATATTCTGAGTTTAAATAGCAAACATAGTCTATGTGTATTCACATTTTATAAATTTATTGTAAATACAAATTTCTTACATGAGAATTATCAATATACACAGTTTGATCTCTTACTTCGAGAAGCTTTGAAATATGATAAGACTATCTTCATAACAGTTATGTGTGACCTTGAAGCACAGTATAACCCAAACATAGTCGAAATTATTACAATTGTAGAATTTCCTCAAGTTCGGAAAATAATATTCAAGTATTCAAAATATTTTAATATTATACATAGAAAGTGTTAATAGAATCGCATTAAAAAACGTTTTTAAGACAAATATATATATATAGTATGTATATATGTGTGATATATCAGCCTGTGATTAGTTGATTTGTCTATTGTTTGATAAGTTTTTTGTGTTCTTGGCTTAAGATTCTTAACGTTAAATACAAAGAATAAAATTAATAAGATATATTGAACAAAATTTTTTAGAGTTGGAAAATTGAATTAATTCCTTTACATTTTCTCTGTAAAAAAGATAAGTTTCCAATAAATTATGTTTTGACTTCACACAAAGTTTTAGAATTTCTATTCTTAGCAATTAATAATTTTTTGGTAAATTGCAAATGTTATATAATCTTTTAATTTAACACACGATTTAAGATAACACAAGATTAAATTTCTTCTAATATTAGAATATATAAAGTTTGTATAAAGTTTTGTGTAAAGCTTTCTTAAAAACACATTTGTCTTTGCACGTGGTGCAAACACATGTAAAGACATGCTTCCACTTTCTCAAATACCAGTTTAATTGTAAAAAAAAACATTAAATCAATGTAGCAAATTTAAAGACTTATATGAATAACTTATGTATATACGAAAAGTAATTCGGTGAAAAAGCACGCTCCAAAAAACACGCGGTGGCAACGCGCTTACATAACAAAAACGTGGATCGTGCGTAGATCGACGCAATCGCTCCAAAAAAAAACCAAACTTAACGATCCTCGTGGACCACAAAAACGTAAATTCTCAAAAAGACTAACGAACAATGTTTTTGCTGATAATACTTGGTGCTGTAGTTTACAGGTTATGCGACGCGCTGCAAAGGTAAGACGCGGTATTGGCGAAAATCGATGGCCAAATGAGCTGGAATTTCTGTGAGGATTCGCGTCAAAGTCGCAAAGAGTAGTAAAAAATAAATTGAAAAGCAGACAGCAAATATGTTCTTTTGTTACGTTGATGTCAAAGCTTAAGAAAACGTAGTCGAAACGACGATTTTTCACACGATTTTCGCGCTACCCGGCCACATGGTTCGCGGATGTAACGCTGCGAACGTGGACGCCATTATGGGTGGAGGAAAGCGCGGCGGCGGCGGATGAGACGGCGTCTAATTTTTCATTGTATCAGTGCATTATAATAAAAAACAATACGAGATTATACTCACCGATGACCGACTTTTGCTGGACAGCCTTTGGTTGTTCTGGCTGTTTTTCCAGATCACCCATCCTGGCTTCGATGGTTTAGCCCGGATCAATCCTTCTTAAATGATGGTAACACCACTTCTGTTGCTCCTTTGCAATACGACCGAAAAACAGCCTCGTCGTATACCACGCTAATTCGCCTCCCCTCTCTGCCTTAACATACAGCCAATCGCATGTGCAGAGTGAACACGAAGACGTACGATCGCTACCGAGAGTCACCGAAACTTCTGCATATGCGCATGTTTCATGTTTTCTGCTCATGTAAGTTTACACAGTCGCCACATCTCTACCACGGAAAATTCACTTCCGATTTTAACGAATTTTCGAATGTTTCTCGAGTCAATTTTCGAATATTCAAAATGTTTTTCGGTCACGTTTTAAGGCTAATATTACATTTGTCGTACGACAACGATTTTAAGTATGTTGATTGGTTATCAGATAGACTTTTATAAAGAACTTTATTTGATAGCCAATCAATTTATTTAAAATCTTTGTCGTACGACAAATGTAATACTAGCCTTAATTTTGTCTTTGTGGAAAATAGAGAAAAGAATGGAATAGGATGATTGATAAATTTGTGACAAAGGTGAAATAATTCTATATTTTTTCAATCCATATACAAGACGCCACTAATAATTATCATAACAAAATAAATTCGAGATTTTTTTTACAATAAGAAAAGTAAAGTTCACATAAAAAAATTGAAAATATATTTATATAACTAATAAAGGAAATGTAATCTAGTAACTTCAGGTAACAGTTATCTATCCAACGAAAAGTAAAAAGGAAAATAAATGTTTGCAAAAAGTTTGAAAAATTTAAAAGGTAGAAGCGTATATAGACACAATACAAGAAATATTTTTACTTTATATTATAAGACTATCACACATATACACGTTATATATAAGTAAAAATATTTCCTCATTAAGTCTTTCTTTACGATTTCAATATTTTCTTTAATATGTAGTATTAAAGAAATTGAAAAAGATTAGTATTAATAATTTTCTCACACACACATTTAAATTATTTATAATAGTATATTTTATGCATAGAATTATTGTTATATAGGATTTAAATCTCTCATACACATCTGTGATTTTAGGCTTAGTATATTATGCGTGTAGTATATAAGTAACATATTTTGTGTGTGTAGATAATTATATATGTGTGTATAGTTTTTACACACACACACACACACATACGTACATATAACTTTTTTTTGTATTTATACAAAACTTCTAACCACGACACACACGTCTCAACATAGATATACTTTTTTTATTATTTGTGAGGAATTTTACTGTAAGCAGTATCATATATATGTTACATTTTGTTGCATAAGTGGAAAAACGCTGTATTTAGTCAAATTTTACTCATCAAGTACAATAACACATCTAAAAATATAGATAAAAAATGTATCGTATATACATGTTTATTGATAAAACAAACAGAAATGAATATAAAGACGCAACAATACTTCTATTTTGTCAAACTATGTAAAATAGTAAAACTATTTTGTTACTTATTAATGTAACTACTTCGCTTGTAAATGTACAAATAACATAAACACATCAAATTTTTTTATATTGCATAATATTGCGCAACGCTGAAGCTCTGATGAGTAAAAATAATTTTGTATTCTTCGGTGAAGAATCATTTGCATGTATTTTTTATCTCTTCCTAATAGTTAAACTAAAAGCTAAATCATTAGTAGATGTGAAATATTGTTACATTACCTAACTTAACTATATGTAAATTTCCAATTTTAATATAGAGAATATATAAGCTCTAAAAATTACAGAGAATATAGAGAATTATGAGAGAGAAAGAGAGAAACGGTTTGTTAAAAAAACAGGAATTATTAAAAAATTGAAAATTTTACTTCATTTCAAACAAGTTGTTTAGTTTTCGAACTATCAAGATAGATTTGTACACAACTTGTTTATAATTGTTTTACATAAATCAAGATTTTGTTTTTGTGAAAACTAAATTAAAGAAAACACTACATGTAGGTTTACATATTATATATAATAATTAATAAATTTATATATAATTTATATATATATACATATATATAAATATTTATATAATTATATTTATATATGTGTATATATATTTTATACATATACATGATATTCCAGGTTTTAGCAGACAAATTTTGTCAATACATAGTATATAGATAAAAGTAAAAAAAAACAATATATAGACAAAGGTGCATGGAAGCTTTATTCAAAAGTTGCTTATAACAAAAATAAGAAAAGATGATACAATATTACATTCTAAAATGTCGAATGTTCTTGTCAATGCAAAATTAACATCGTGAATATATCGAATTCAATACTGTATGAAAACTGTTATTTTGTAATTTTATTATATATTTTGGCAAATGTAGTAATTATTTTTTACATTAATGAATCATACATATTTTATTCTTTATTTTATAAACTTTTTATCAATATTATCTACAGATAAAACTCCATCTTAAGAATAATTTTCGTGCAACATCACTGTTACGCACTTGTTCAGTCTCGTTTCAAACATTTTAATTTTTGTTATAACTCCCTAAATATGTGCACCAATGTTTACATACATTTGTTTTATTTTTATCTCGATAAAACATATTGACAAATCCTGGTTAAAATCCGAAATAACCTCTGTGTGTGTATACACATACATACACGCACACACACTACACAAAATATAGATGCTTAGTAACTGTTACTGAACATGTTTTAACACGTAATATCAAAATGTTTATTATTCATTTTCACAATAATCTGTCATTTGAGTTTTATTGACCAAATATGCTAAATATACGATGATGAACATACGTGAAAAAGTGTGAGTTTTTAATTATATATCTAGACGTCAGGATAATCTAACATAAGAAAAATGTACAAACATCCAAAACAATTTTAGACTTTTTCCAAAAGTTATAGTAAATTAAAAGACGTGCCCATCTTTTGTTATAATACACAACTGCAACATAGCATATAACTTTTTTTGGTCTAGATTCTAAATTTATCTCCTGAAATACGATAATAAAGAAAATTATTCTATTATTTATTGGAGAAATACTTCGAATATATTTCAGTGGAAATATGTATGCACTTAAACGTGCGGCATTTACATTCTCCATCATCTTGGTTTCCGTGTGCGAGCTGTCCTTGATCGCGGTGCGGTAGATCCACTTCCAATACTGAACATGCCAGGTGTCGAAGGATTGAAAGTCGGTGTGCTTGACGTTCCGAAGTTAAGAGCAGGAGTCACCGATGGTGCGGTGAAATTAAATCCTGTTGATGCTGAAAATAAAAAACAAGTATTTCTATTTTTATGTACAAAATTAAATTTAGGAATAAAAAAAAGATTATATAACAAAACAAATCTTTAAAATTATGTGTATATGTATACACACCACACACACCACACACCACACACCACACACACACACACACACGCGCGCGCAAATTCGATATATTTGTGCAATATATACTTGAAAATATCGTAACATTAACATATTAAAATAATCTACTTAGAAAACAAATTACCTGGTTTGGAAGATGTTGATCCAAACTGAAATGGAACGGACGACGAAGCTGTAGAATTGTTGTTTCCATTAAAGTTTGATCCAAAAGAAAACGACGTGTTTTGTTGTCCCTCCTTTTGATTGCTGCCAAAGACAAACATGCTATTCGTGTTATTATTATTATTAGTGTTACTGACTCCAAAGGCAGTAATGGACGAATTAGATGCACCAAAACCCGTCGTAGTCGTCGGCGCTGCTTCAAACGGCAATTTATTATCACCGAACATAGTATCGCTACTTGAAGTGCCACTTCCGAATGTAAGAGTCGCAGGACTTTGTGGTGTACCAAAGGTATTTGTTGAGGAGGACGTCCCGAATGCTGAAAAAACGGGACCTGACGATGCATTATTATCAGTTGAACCAAATATACTGCTTGTACCGCCGAAAGCCGGCGTAGTCTGTGCATTCGTCACCGTGTTTATACTCGGCGAACCGAATGCGGGCGTCGTAGTATTAAAACCAGGAGTGACAGTACTAGTGGAAACGTTTGCAGTGATGCCAAATGTAGATGCAGTTGTAGTTTGTGTAGTCGAGCTGAACAACGATGTCGTCGTGCTGCCAAATATACCGCCCGTCGTACTAGCACTTCCAAAAGACGTAGAGGGTTTTGTCTGTCCGAAAATCAGCGAGCTGCTACCAAATAGCAAAGAGGGTGCCGTCGTTGTTGAAGTTGAACTAGCGTTAACGTTGGAGAATAAACTGGAACTAGCCGTATTGTTCAACGAAGATACAGCGTTGGTCGTTGAAGTAAATATCGAAGGTGTTGTAGTATTCGGATTGGTAAATAAACTCGTAGTTGTTGGAGATGTCATTGATGCAACTCCGAAAAGTGGCTGACTATTATTGGTCATACCAAAAATGCATGTAGTTGTTGTACTTGTTGTAGTCGATGTAGTAACGAAAATAGATGTGGTAGATGTGCTAAACTGTGATGCGGTAGTTGTAGATGCACCAAATTGTGGCATAGTGGTTGTAGTTGCTCCAAATATAGGAACTGAATTATTTATTGTTTTAAAATTATCAGTTGTACCACTAGTACTAACTGCAGCCGGTAGAATTGCAGCTGCAGAAGTAATACTTGAAGTGGTAGAAGCTCCAAAAACAAACAGAGGATTGTTGGTGGATAAAGTAGATGTCGAAGGAGTAGAAGATGTGCTCACTGGGAAAGTGGATACATTTGGTAATTTGAAAGTTGCTGATGTTGTGGTGGTTGTACAGTCTGCAATAAACGAACTATTTGTAGTGTTCGATACTGAAGTATTTGGTTTGAAATCAAAGGATTTAATCTGCAAATTTGATGTCTTACTGCTATGTACGCTACCGAAAGCGTTTGTTTCCGATTGAGTGTTATTACTAGACTGCCCGAATGTGAGCATATTCGACTTCGGTAGGTGTGACGTGGTGCTGTTGCTCCCGAAACTAAATAAAGATGTGGTAGCGGACGTTGTCGTTGCGATGCTATCTGACGTATTACTTGCAGAGTTGTTAAATCCGGCGATGTTAGTAGCGACAGTTGTATTGACTATTAATGATGTCGGTCTGGTAGTTTGAAACGTTACACTCGAAGCTGAAGTTTGAGCAGATGTTGCGGGAGATAAAGAAAGTTTGCTACCACCAAAAGTAAAAGTAGAATTGGCTTGAGTATTTATCGTGATAGATGAACTTGCGGTTGCACTTGTCGCAACAATGTTACTCGTCTCAATTTTTTCACTTGATGTAATTCTGGGAGGTACAGATGTGAATGTCGAGCTTAATGGTATTTTATCAGTCGTTAAAAGATCAGTAGACGTTGGTACAGTCGATATGGTAGGGATTGCTGCGGAAGTGCTACTAATACATGTAGTAGTGCTAAAGTTCGGCAATGAATTGGTCGATGTTACTTCTGTAGTCGTTTTACCAAAAGTAAAGGTCGATATGGGACTTGGAGTACTTGAAGAAGTAATTTTTTGTGGCTCTGGTTTTGCGATTGTAGATGCGATTGTAGTCGATACGACTTTAGTTTGATCAATTGTGACAACAGTCTTTGCAGCCAAGGCCCCTTCCTTTATCTTAATAGTACTCATAACTGATGTGTTTGGTTGCATCGGTGATGTGGAGTTTGATAAGCTAAAAGCTATGGTTTGTTTCGCATCAGTTTTTGTATCAGGTCTTGTCGAGAAAAGACCACTCGGTATAATGGCTGCGGTGGAAATTGGAGTGGTATTAACGTTGGTCGTAGTTGTTGAAGAATTGAGAGTTACACAAGTGACCGGCACGAAGCATGTAACCGGTGGCGTAATCACAGTAACGTCGTCTGCTTGAATCACAACATGAGGATTGATCGATTTCTCTGCTGAAAATAAAAAAGAAAAGTTGTTATAACAAAATGTATTCTTTTGTACACACAAAAATATATATGTACTATTATTATTTTTTATATATATTTACCTTTGCCTGATATCGCATCAAACATACTTTGAAGTCTTGCCTTCATATTAGTCTGTCTCATATTTCGTAGATCTTCTCTCTTGATTTCTTCTACATTGTCCTTGGTGAACTTGATCTTTATATTACCTGGTTCCTCTACAAGTTCCTTCAATCGTTCATTTCGTTTAGGTTCAGCTCTCATAAATAGTTTGTCTGTCAATGGGACAGATTTCGTTGACACAATAGTTTCAGCATTATTAGTTTCGACCATATTTTTTGCGGTTTTGTCGACCATAGATGACGCTTTTTTTGTGTTAATTCTTAATTTTACATTAGATGGCTTTAGTATTCCTTTTACTACGGGAAAGTCCATCTTTTTAGAAGCAAGTGAAACTACGAAAGGTCTTGAATATATTTCTTCGACTTCGGATTTATTACGATTTGTGTCTAAGTTTTGAGATTGTAGTATAGAAGAATTATTACACTGTGCGTTTTCTACAGATTTGAAGTGTTTTTCAAAGTCTGGTGTCCCACTACGCGAAAAATCAACTGTAAAAACAAAACAAACATTAAAAGAAATTTATATATATATATTGATTAAAAAATTGATTGATGAATAGAAATTGATACTGACCCGCTTTTCTTTTAATTCCAGTAGTAATAACATCGCCACGAATGCTAGAACTCAGCGAGTTCAAAATATCATAACAGGATCGTGTTTTCGTACGTTTTGCAGGTCTGACAGACTTATTTTGAGGAGAAAGATCCTCATCTGACTTAGAGTCATCTCTACTTCGCTTTTGCTTATTTTCTTCCAGAATTGTCTCCCTTCTGTCGCTAAAGAAACTGTCTGTTTTCTGTTTCTTAGCAACATCAAAACTAACATCTTCTGTTGATGTCCATGTTCGTTTAAGTGATATTTCTTTTAAAACTTGGACAACACTTGTAGGCGATTTGTTTTCTATGTGACAAATATTAGTCAGAATCTTTTGTCTTTCTGGAGAAGAGTATTTTGCCAAATCTGGCGGTGCTACTCTGACTGTCACTGGCATTCTTATTTTTCCCATTTTTGGATTCAACAAAGGAATTGGATTGGCTTGAAGATTAACTTTTGGAAATTGTCCAGTGCCATATTGAGATTGATAGTTCAGTTTACTCTTTGCATCAGTGGCATACTTTGTTAATCTTGTTGTAAGTCCTGGTGATGATACATCTGTATATACCCTATATTTTAGAAAAAGATATGTAGTAAAAACTTAGGAAAGATATAATACTAAAAATATATAGACAACATAAGTATATATTTGTATACAATAAGTTATTTTACAAAAAATAATATAAAAATATTAACTATACCATATAATCTGGAATAAAAAAATAATCCCAGTTAAATATCAAAAGGTCAAAATTATGATTAGATTCTATATATATATTTACTTTGGATCAATATTATATCTTGTTGATGCTAACAACGGTCCTGCAACTGTCTGTACTGTTTTTACACCTCCTGGTCTAGGACGTGTCTTAGAACCGCTATTAGTGCTCCATGGAGATCCTTCTAAACTAAATTGTGTACAATTCTCACCATGGTTTAACATATGATTTTGTGAATATGTAGTAGAGAATTTCCTAGGAGATATTTTATATGACTGTGATGTTTGATTAGCTTCTCCATTTCTGATATCTTCCTCCTTGTTTCCTGATTTTACTGGTGTGGAAGTACAATGCTTGCTGATAGCCGGATATTTTTGATGTGACAAATGCTCGTAATCACTGGCATGATGGAATCTCTCATCTGTCATGAGTATGTCACTGGCACGTAAACGTCGATGATTTGAAACGCGCGGAATTGGACTAAATTGATCCAACAGGCCAAACCTGGTGCTCATCGTCGAAGATGTTGACGACGACGACGAATCTCTGCGCTTGACAGCTGCACTGACAGCAGCATATGAATCGCTGCTGAGCTGATAACTGCGTCGCCTATCCATTCGGAGTGAGAAATGTTCGCGATAATAACGGTTCGCGTTACGCCAGAGCATACGCACTTGTCCAATACCGTATCCGTGAGCGGTGCGTAACGCTGTGCTGATTTCGTGGATCGCTTCTTGCAAATAACCGACTAAGTGATATGCGTGCGGTGACACCACGCTGTCGTTTATAAGTAGAGAATAGGACACATATACTACTACGAGCAAAGTGACCGCTAGCGCCAGGATAGCCCCCCAAGCGTTGTAGACTAGCACGCATCCAAAAGTCAAACTTATTAGCACCACGGAAGCGCGGTTGCCCAAGTTCCACATAGTACTCTCTCAAAAAAGTAACCTCTCCATGTTTGAAAAAAGCACACTCACTACAGCCTGTCGGAACTCGGAGTCTGCCGCGAGGGGAAGATGAGATCATCGATACGTATATATCGATATCAGCGCCGATCAATTGGCGGTAATTTAACACACCGCGATTGGCGAACACGCCTTTTTTTATGCTATAAATCGTGCTACGTGCTACATTTGTATATATAATTTATCTGATTTGTAACATGAAAACTTCCTGGTGCGCTTGAGTAAATTGATTTTGTTTTTCTTTAGCAGAGAGAAGACTGAGAACGGCCATCCTATTGTAGTTTCTCATGGATATGGCGCTAAACCGTCGTTTTAGCGCCATATCCACAAAAATAGATATCAAAGGCCGTTCTACATTAAATGCAAATCGTTGCAGATCTCGTGGAATTGATCAATCACGTTGGTCGATTGGCTGATTTGACTATGCGATTAATCAATTCCACGAGATATGCGAGACTTGCGTTTAATGTAGAACGGCCTTTGAAATCCACTTTTGTAAATATGCTAAAACCAGCAGCTGAAAGCGTCGTAAAGGGTCGTCTACAATGGAGAGTTTTAGACTGTAACAGTAAGAAACTGACAAATTGTAGACGACCCTTAAGGCCTGATCTACAATACAGTCGTAAGACGTAAGTCGTAAGAAATTGACTAATCATAATCAATTAAGAGCCGTCTACAATGGAGAGTTGTAGGCCGTAACAGTAAGAAATTGACCAATCACAATTGATTATTCTTCCGTGATTTGTCTGTGATTGGTCAATTTCTTACGGCTTACAACTTACGACTGTATTGTAGACAACGCCTAATGCGTCGTCTACAATGAGAATTTAAGCCGTAAGACTTAAGCTTTAAGAAGGTACAAGGCTTGTTTCCACTATCTACGATTAACTTACCGATCGATTGCGAGTCAATTGCGATTGGTCAATTTAGTCAATCGACCAATATGATTGGCGATTCCAACAAAATAATCGACCGATTAAGTTAATCGGAGATGGTGAAAACGGGTCTTATACCTTCTTAAAGCTTAAGTCTTACGGCTTAAATTCTCATTGTAGACGACGCATAAAGAGCCGTCTACAATGGAGAGTTGTAGGCCGTAATAGTAAGAAATTGACCAATCACAGAGAAAGTACAGAAGAATAATTGATTGTGATTTGTCAATTTCTTAGGCCTGGTTTATGCGGGCAATAACTGTTAACTTATGCCGGAACTGGTAGAGTTTAACTATAGGATTCCAATACTTCTGTTTATACGCATTCGGCAATTTCGTATAAACAGAAGTATTAAAATCATATAGTTAAACTTTACCGGTTCCGGCATAAGTTAACAGTTATTGCTCGCATAAACCAGGCCTTACTGTTACGGCCTACAACTCTCCATTGTAGACGGCTCTTAAGAGCTATTGCACATGAAAAAATTTTAGGCCTGTTCTACAATACAGTTGTAAATTGTAAGGCTGCCTTTACATACGGCGTAACCATATATGTAATACTTCTATATTGCTAATACGGTGCCGACCTGAACCCCAAATGTTACGGTGCAGACAATATAGTAGCCTCTCTCTCGCGCAAGGTCCAGCTGCTTTGTGCGCATGCGGTGAACATTCAAGCACGCTTGGGCATTTTTTCTTCTCGCGTTCTTTCTCTCACTTTCCAATTCTTTGTCTCGCTCGCACTCGCTTAATAGACGGGCCTGCGCATAATGACGCTCGACTATCTATGCCCATACTTAGGGCGACGTCCCATTGAACGGAAATCCACAGCGGAACGAAATGCGCGGAACCAACGCGACCAATCGTAACCACAGAAAAAGCGAAGGAAAAAAAATGGAATGGCTATGATTGGTTGCGCTGGTTCCGTGCATTTCGTTCTGCTATGGATTTCTGCTTAATGGGACGTCGCCCTTAGACTTCGTGCGTCTCTCTTTCTCGGGCCTCGTGCCTCTCATTGCGAAGATACGCGACTAGCAATATAGAAGTATTATATATACGCTTCGCAATGAGAGGCACGAGGCCCGAGAAAGGGAGACGCACGAAGTCCAAATATGGGCATAGATAGTCGAGCGTCATTATGCGCAGGCGCATCTACCAAGTGAGTGCGAGCGAGACAAAGAATTGGAAAGTGAGACAGAAATAACGCGAGAAAGAAAAATGCCCAAGCTTGAATGTTCACCGCATGCGCACAAAGCAGCTGGACCTTGCGCGAGAGAGAGGCTACTATATTGTCTGCACCGTAACATTTGAGCTTCCGGTCGGCACCGTACTAGCAATATAGAAGTATTATATTGTTGCGCTCACGGCAGCGTTTAATCGCGTCACCGTCGAGTTACTGCGCTCCGCGGAAAGAAAAGATAACACCGCGTATAACACACTTAAGTTTTATTAGAGAACGCGTTACAAAAGACCACAGAAAACGTAAAGAAATTTCGAGAGCCGATGATCCAGCCTGTCGACGATTCCGAATCCGGCGGCTCACTCTTCTTTGAACCTCGCCGTAAACAACCCCGTTGCTACCCGAACAAAAGCCTCCAGAGCGATCGATCGTTCTACGAACATCTTCTTATACCGCGTGAACGACACGCGCCGCATCTCGCAACACTGCCCCCTCTCTCTTCTAGATCATTGTCCCGATGATCCACCAGAAGAAATCAACCTTCCCGCTCTCTTCCAGACTGCTGTCCCGGAATAAATGAGCCAGTTGACCGGAGAAACTCTTGACCGAGAATCCCTTCTGGAGCAATTTCGTCCATAAAATTCTTCCGACTTCGAACAAGGGGGGGGGAAACTCACGTGGACCCATCGTCCGAAAGGACACCCCAGATCCCCGCCTCGGCATTTGCCCCAAGACCCACGAAAAACCACACTCAAAACCGTGAGTAAGGCGGACTTCTAGCACGGCGTTCAAAACACGAAGATCTCGCGACGACTCGATGCGAAGCAAAAATCCCCCGACGTCTAACGACGAAACGGAAAGATTCAGGGTAGCAACAGAGTAAACGCTGGAATTAAAGAAAAGAAAACGAGTAACCAAGCTCAATTAACATAACAACAAAAACAAATATCCGTAACATCTTAAATAAAAAAAAACAAACACCCACTAATTCTCACAGGGCTCCGACGTGTGTTCCCACCTCTCG